GGGCTAATGCCTCTAAGACTGTGAGCCTCCTGGGGAGAGAAGGCCGGGGGTTTTATAGTAAAAATTCAAGAGTTCAAGGGGAAGAGCTAGTTTCCATAGAGATTATATCCAGGGTAACAAATTTTTGTAAAGTTGTTTTTCAAATGCAGTGGTCCCTTTCCCTCTGCTGGGTATGAAGTTCACCTCTAGATTTGGGACTCTTAATATTCTCATACCTAGAACAAAGAACGCATAGGAAGGGGGTCTATGGAAAAGAGCTCTGGAGAAAAACTTGTGCAGTTTAAAGTCAGGTTGATAAATGCTTTTAGCCTTTTAAGCAGGCTGAGGTCTGGCACCCCCTGCTGCAGGCTGAGGCCTGCAGCTCAAACAACAGGATACAAGGAAACCACAAGGTGGTTGAAAACAACTGCAGACATGCACAATTGGGGCAAGTTATGAACAACAAAATGCACAAAATACCCAATTGCCATTTCTGAGGTGTCAGGGTCAAGAGAAGGGCACTGGGGACAAAAGCAGGGCACTGAGCATGGTCCCCTCACACAGCACCATGAGGGGGTTGGGCAGACCACCCAAGCCTCCCTCCTCTCCAGCCTAACCCTGGTCAGCAAGAGCATGAGAAAAATCCTTTAAACCATTATACAGTTAAGCAGTTACAAACATAGCTATGGATATCAGATGGTCACCGATGATGACAATAGGGTTCTGCTCAGTTACAACTCTGCATCTGAAATGTATAGAATCTATAGAAATGTATATTTCAAAGGTGAACTCTAATGTATGCAAAACAAAAAAAAGTTGATTAATGTGAATTTGGAAGATGATGCTTTTACTGGAAACTACAAGGCTATAGGCAAAGGAATTGTACATACTCATTGTATTCTGATTGGTAGGTTTTTTTCTCATAAGGGAATGAGTTAAGAAATGCACTTTAAAAATAAAAACACAAGTAGGTTAAAAGTAAAATGATGAAAAAAGAAATATCGTACTAACATTAATCAGAAGAAATTTTGAGCAGCTAGATTAATATCAGACAAAGTAGATTTCCATCAGGGA